TCTGAAGTAGATAACGGGTGGAGCATCTCGTGACCCTAGGCTGGCATCACGAAAGCCTGTTAGAGCAGGCACGATCATGGGTGCAGCGAGCGGAAGTACGAGTACAGCAAGCTCATCACAAACACCGGAGAGCACTGTTCATGAGTGGACATGATCGTGGCAAGCGTGACTGCTTTTATGGTAAGCTTGCGCGCTTACGATAAAACTTTGCATATTCGCACGTTCCACCGACAAATCAGTCGAAACTGCTGGAGTAGTGGGCATACGACTCCGCGAGGACAGTCGGAGGCAGAACATGATTATTGTGGGAGATTTCAATGCTTACTGATAACTAGGATCTTACGGCAGTTAGGGGCTATATGTAAGGATTCGACGAACTGCTATTGTATATGGCGCTCAACGACTTCCTGTTTCAGCTTATCCGAACAATCACTGGGATGCGTTAAGGTAGGAGATCTAGTTGTGTGGATCTATGTACGAATAATAAGGAATGTGTTGATGTACATGCAGCCCCCGGATTCTTAGGACCATAATGTGGAAATCAGCACTCGTAGCTTAATCAGAATGATGCTCGCAGTCGTTAGGAAATTGTTGGCGGGTGACTTTGGAGGAATAACATCAGCGATTGGATATACACTAAGAGCGGAAATTTCAACAGTTATCAACGAAGGTGTGGGTGCCCGTCTTATACTGAATCAAATACGTGGGACTCGATTGAACGGTACCATCCTTGCAAGAAACATTCAACCGGAAACCAACCGATTGGCAAATAGCGCACATATTCCTAAGAGGGGATTGCAGCTATATTCTACTATCGGCCGGCCAATCTGGTTTTCATTTGCTGTTAGCTGATGGAAAGGATAATTCAAGAATCTATTAGACCGATCGATACATTCCGCCTTCAAGTCAGCTCAATTTAATGTGGGTTCCGTGGAGAGGCCATAAGCTAGCCACTGATGTGCAATGCACGAAGCACGATGTACTACTTGGGCAATAATTCCATAATGGACAGCATACTCTTAGGTGACTTCGAAGGCCTCAATTGGTAGTACCGTTTTCCCACTTCAATCTTTACTTTTAAGTCCAGGGCATAATGGGTTGTGAGTCAGTGTTTAATGGGAATCCTTTGCTCAGTTAGCGAAGTAAGATCATTATTGATACATGCCACTAACCAAATTCCAAGACTTAATCGATACGGAGTTCCGAAGGCTGACACAAAACTCTGAAAAGCGACTACTGAACAACTGTCAAGAGAGAAAATTCATTTTATTACAAACTACTGACTCATGTGGAACAAAGAAAAAGGCGTTCAAGAGAGAAAAAGATCAGAAAATTAAAAAAAAAAACTATGGAGGCAAACAATAAAATTCCACTGGTAGAAATAATAAACTAAGATATCACTGTACTTGTCGGACTGCGGTGGCAATGTCATTTTCACGATAAAAAGCTAGGTCGTTCTGTTTAATTCATATACATAGCAGTCAATTGATTCCTGATCGTAGAGGACAAATTGGACATCGCGCAGGCTGACAAGTGCGTTGTCATTGAGAAATTTCTTAATTGTTTTGACAATCGTCTCTGCGGCCGCTGCTTTTGGGAATCCGGCACTAAAGGAGAAAATCCATATAACAGCTGAGACTGGTCCAAGAAATTCTAGGACTAGAGACAGATACTCAGATAATTGTCGACGGAATTATTAGTATTAAACTTAATCCATTAAAGTCAGTTAGATGACTAGGATCAACTGTATGAGTGCAGACTAAGGAAGTATGAAACTCGTGCAGTCGGAGCCACCTTACTTTGGAGTGACCTGCTGACCGCATTCATGTCTGGTGTTCTACCCGGTGAGTTATCAAACGTACGCCTATCTGCTGCGAATAATTGTTGGTTTGACTGATTTCTGTTTGCCCTTGCATGGGCTGCAGCAACGCAGATGAGCTTGAAGTGCGCGACATGTTACTACACACAGGAAATGGTTACTTCAACTTCAGTTTTATTAAGGTGGCGAAGTCCGGTTAGAGGTACTGGAAATATGACGCTATCTCAGTATATATTTAGCTTACCAAATTGGGAGTGTCATCCTAATTAATTTGGTAGTCATTTGCGACTGAAGAAAAGGGTAATGAAATTCAAGCAAGCTTCTCCTTCGATTGAATAGAGGCGATCAGAGATTGAACGCCAATTCACAAGGATGCCTGAATGAGACTGAAAGCTCTTTGTATTTTCAAGGATGGTCGGTAATCCAAGCATGCACGCTCGCTATGTGAGGATTCATTATAAAACTGATAACACGATTACTATCGACCGAATTATCAACTAAACCACTTTAAAGTTCAATATTTTTTCTGGTTGTAAGCCCATTCACAATAACTGAGGAAATTGCAGATTAGTCTTTACGATGGCGTTGTTAAAACTATTAAAGCTAGCGGTAGCCAAACAGACCCGGTGACAACCGGATTGCCGGGCAGAGTGCGGAACAGTTGGGCAATTGCTTTTCGTCCAAAAAGCCTTCCACTACAGCCGAACGCTTACCGACCGCTACCGATAGACGGCATTGCCAGCGAAGTAAGTTCCTTGCCTGAGGCCAAGCGCAAGCAATTTTCAATGCATCGTTCAAGGTCGCTCAAACGTTCTCCGGCCAGCGTGGAGTCCCAAAGAGGTCCATTCACGTGAACAACGTGTCGCGCTTTCAGATTGGGCGCATCGGTGATGTGGGCTTTAAAAAAAGAGTAGTGAGAACCAAGGTTTCCGAGGGTATTAGAAAGCAAGGACAACAAATGTGCATAGTGCGCCTAAATCTCATCGAGTTAAAAATGCCCTTGTCCACAGTCGTCCACAGAACAAAGCGTAGAAAAATTGAGGCGCATAATCAGTACTGAAATCAGCATTTTGTCTTTCGGAGGAGGTCAGTACAGGAAAGGAGTGCTGTGACAATATTTTAACGGAAGTCAAAAGCAGGACTTTTAAAAGGTGAAAACAGTAGGAATGGCGGGGCGAGGCTTCCAGCGGTCAAAAGGAAGGAACGAAGGAAACAACTTTACAAAAAATTAGCCCAATGGCATTATATGAGTGTAGTAATGAAGTGAACAAGCCCTGATTTAAGCATGGAGCTCCCTTGAGTGACAGGTTTAACGCAGTACTCATAGATACTCACGCCCGATGAACTGTTACAAGCAACTTTGGACCAGGTAACAGTTCTAAAGCTACAATACTTGCTGACTGGCTGGCAATACGGTCGAATAATTTGAAACTCTAAAGGAACCATAAGTACACGACTAGAGCATAAAGTATCGGGTAAGCGTCGAAGTGATTACATTCAGTATACTAGATAAGGCGAAGGTAGAGTAAAAAATCCTTTACCACCAGGTGCTAGTTTGGATTTAAAACCAACTAATGGCCTCAACGAATTAGTACAAATGTGGAGCAGTAAAGTCTAGTTATAGGAGACAGTGCGAGGACACTTCATCAAAAGAGCTAGCGACAAAAACAGTCAGGATATAACACGTCGAGTTTTTATAAACAAGGATTTTTACAACACCAAAATGCTTGTAAAGGGTGTTGCTTTGGCCATACGGTAAAACAAAGAAGGTTAATAGGATGACATAAGAACCTTGGTCGAAATACGAAAAAAGCATGTATTCTCGTTCAATAAAATGGTCATATGATTCAACAGCCCGCCACAAAGACATACCTGCGAGGTAGGGGAGAGCGGGGACATCTTGACGTGCTTGTCGCATGACTTCCGCGAACTCGACGCAGCCCTTCGAACTCAAACGACTACCTTAAGGAAAAAAAAACAGAAACGCAGCCGGTATTTTATTTACACATAAAACACACATCTCCAAGTGATATAGTCAGAAAGGTGGTCACCACGCAACTTGGTAATACCCGTTTCCTACACCAGCCGGTAGGGTATAAAATTTCACCCGCACCGCGTGTGTCCCCTGCCTCAGCTGTCAGAACACTGATGGCACCGCGGAATGCCTTAGCTTCAAAAACAGAAGGATAATTTGCACGAGACTAGTGGATGCGCTGCTGAATTTCCTCACTAAGTGGGGTTATCGTCGACCAACAGAATTAACTAAACTGGAGGCCGCCCTTGAAGGGCATCCCAAGTTGGCGGCTACCCTGGTCTATCACTAATACGAAGTTGTCTTAAAAGGCAAGTACCTTATGAAAATGCAAAATTTGTTGTGGTAGTGCGTATGACAAACTGAGTCTAAGTGCTCACCTACCATACCGCCCATGTAAAAATTACTAGATGTTGGATTGACAACTGCGTCAACTGAGAGTTCTGCCATATCAGCCTGGACGATCTGTAGGACGCATCCACTGGGGAGAGTGATTTTTCGCAAGATTTCCTTAAGAAAGAATTTTAACAGCAGTAAGGAAAAGCATACCCCAGATGTTTTACTGCCATGAGATGGTTTATGTTGTGTAGTTCGCTTTGCTTTTGACGTTGTCTTAGGCAGAAGCTGTGGGAGAATGGCCGGCTGAACACCGCTGAATGGAAAAGTTACTTTCTGTAGCATCTGGATAAAGAAAAAATGTATGAGCGCTGCAGTCTTTGGAAGAACATGCCTTTGATATTTCCAAATCCGACGTGGCAGCGATCATTATGAAGCGAGGAGTAAGTAACTTCCGGTTTCCGGCCTTGGCGACGCTTCCAGCAAGGTCTAAAAGCTCACCTTAGAGTTGAAAGTTGTTTGGTAGTGACATGAGCTAACTTGTCATATATTCTAAAACAGCAGCCAGGTAAACGGCTGCCGAGACCGAAACCCGGCGAACCCTCATAAGCTTTGAGGTCTTTAGGAACCGCAGTATTCTGGACACTGGAAATAAGATCCCGGATCTTGCAGATTTGCTCAATATCGGATTAGGACGCCGCGCACGCGATTTTAGCCCTGTGGGAAAAACAACTATTTAGGCAGCAACTGACAGTGAAAAGGGAATAAAAACTCTGCATGCACAAAATTATAACCTTTCGGTAGCCTAACCGATCCAATGAGATTTTGGGATGCGGCAACATTTTGATTAAAAAGCAAGCTCGGATCTGGAGATTTCGAGGACATTTGGCTTGGCGCACGTGTGAAGTCCTATGTTATTGTCTTAGTGTTTTTCAAAAAGAAAATTCACAAGTCGAGTCTCTTCTCAGAAATCTCGTGGGAAGTAAAGTTCGGGAAAAAAGTCGCTTCTATCGTTTATAAAACGGACCGAAACGATTGAGCCAATAAGACGCCAAATTTATTAGTTCTGTCTCGTCTCATCCATTGGAAGAATACTGACGCAATAATTGGGTATAGTCGTTGCTTATTGGTTGCCAAATGTTGACAGTAACCTTTGCGCCAAATTCAAACTCGGTACAGTTTATCGAGGGAAATAGGCATGAGACTGAATAACCTATTTGCAACGTAAAATCAAATACAGTTTTCAGAGGAATCACATGGGTTGCCAAACTTCAAAGGGAACTATAGAATATGATCGTTTTA